GCTGTCCAGTGCTAAAATGTCACTGTTCAGTGATGAATGTCGCTGTCCAGTGCTAAAAGTCGTTGTCCAGTGCTGAAATGTTTCTGTCCAGTGCTAAAATGTCACTGTTCAGTGATGAATGTCTCTGTCCAGTGCTGAAAGTCATTGTCCAGTGCTGAAATGTTTCTGTCCAGTGCTAAAATGTTGCTGTCCAGTGCTAAAATGTCACTGTTCAGTGATGAATGTTGCTGTCTAGTGCTGAAAGTCGCTTTCCAGTGCTGAAATGTCTGTCCAGTGCTCAAAGTCGCTTTCCAGTGCTGAATGTCGCTGTCCAATGCTAAAAGTCGCTGTCCAGTGCTGAAATGTCTCTGCCCAGTGCTGAAAGTTGCTGTCCATTGCTGAAATGTCTCTGTCAAGTGCTAAAAGTCTCTTTTCAGTGCTGAAAAGTCTCTGTCCAGTGCTGAAAGTCGCTGTCCAGTGCCGAAATGTCTCTGTCCAGTACTGAATGTCGCTGTCCAGTGCTGAAATGTCTCTGTCCAGTGCTGAAGTCGCTGTCCAGTGCAAAAAGTTGCTGTCCAGTGCTGAATGCCGCTGCCCAGTACTGAATGCCGCTGCCCAGTGCTGTAATGTCGCTGTCCAGTGCTAAAATGTCACTGTTCAGTGCTGAATGACACCGTCCATTGCTGAAAGTCGCTGTCCAGTGCTGAAATGTCTCTGTCCAGTGCTGAAATGTCTCTGTCCAGTGCTGAACGTCTCTGTCCAGTGCTGAAAAGTCTCTGTCCAGTGCTGAAAGTCGCTGTCCAGTGCTGAAATTTCTCTGTCCAGTGCTGAATGTCACTGTCCAGTGCTGAATGTCGCTGTCCAGTGCTGAAATCTCGCTGCCGAGGGATGAAGCACAAACACCATGCTTCTCAATGATAGCCACAGGGAAATAAACCCAATCAATGTTTAAACAAGTCTAAATGCAGCTGTTCCCTTTAGGAACCTTTTTTCTGTTCATTTAAATAAAAAAGTCTCCATTTATAAGCCACAACTTGAAAAAAGGTTGAATATTTTTAGCAGCATAAGAGGACTTTTTCCCAGAGTGGACAAAGTCATGTGAAACCCTTCAACCTTTGCAGTAGGTCATTTTAGCTCTGATATATTTTCCCCTTTTTCTCCTGTGATTTGGAAAACCAAAACATTTCACCCAAAGAGACACTTCTGCTCATGTTTGCGTAACTGTCTCCCGGGTTAAACCGGCTCAAAACTGGCGCAGATCCGAGCCCGTCCGTCCACCTGGCTGGATGGGATGCAGAAGGCATTTTTCACAGGATGTGGAAGCTGATGAGGAAGCTCGTCACTGTATCAACAGCCCCACGGCAGGGAGGCGACGACAGCAAGAACCTCTGTACACATCGCACCTTTGTCGTCACAGTGAAGTGAGAAGAGGCACACAGCTCCACAGATGTTTAATTATTTAAAATTAGACAGTAAAAGACCAAATAAGAGTTTTGCTAAGTCGTAGGTGCTACAGTTTTGAAATTTAAACCTTTAAAACATTTAAACATTTAGACTATAATCGGGTTACCATAACTATAGAGTAATATTGATCTTAGTGTTTGAGTTGATTTAAAGAGCAGGATCAAAAGATTTATTGATTTTATAAGATTAGTGTTGTGAACATGTACTGTAGAGTGCCCTTTATACAGAGTTTTGTTTTGTGTAAGTAGAGACTAAAATACAGCTGAGTCATGCTTAACATCAAAGGCTGCAGCCTTGTATATGATAGGCTAATTAAGTAGTAATCTATCAATTAATCAAACAGTATTTGCCACATTTTTGTTTAATTTTCATCTGACAACTTGACCTGCTTATAGTTAGCATGTTGCTAAACACTTCAAATAAAAAGATGGAGCTATTTTTTAAATTAAAATGGTCTTTCTGGTTTTCTTTAGTAAATGTCCATATTCTCCTCAGTCATGCTTTTTGTTTAGGATAAGGAATTTTGTCAGACAAAACATAAACACCCCCTGAGAAAAGTAAAAAAAAATTGGTGTTTTATAATACCCACTGGCTGCCCTTGTTTCTGGAAACTTCCATCAGCTGTACAAATAAAACATCTCATGACTTCTAACTTGCTAGTTTAGCTATTTTCAGATTTGTCTTTGCCATGCCAGATGTAGGAGAACAAATGTGTCCGTTTGGCTGAAAATAAATAACCGGAGCACCTTAAGGCCAGAGGGCAGATTTAGAGAATGACTCCAGGACCCTGACAGTCTTATAGAAATATCTTCTCCACAGCCTTCTGCCTGAGGGTGTGTGTGTGTGAAAAGTTCCCGAGCAGGGTGGGTGGGTTCCATCCCAGTACATACCTAACCCTAAACCTAACCTAAACTCAATTTACACCTTAGTCCTATACCTAACCTCTGACCCACCAATGGTATTTCTTTTGCTGTTTTTGTGGTCCATGTGAGGTGAGTATTTGGCTTCTCTTCTGCTGATGATGGGGGGAGAATAGCCTCTACTGAAGCCCTCCACCATCTATGTGCTCTTTGTCACATTGACGATCAATTTAATATACCGTACATCAATCAGCTCCTTCTTAAACACACACTCATTGATAGACAGCAGTCCAACAGCAGCAACAAACCTCTGTTTTTTTGTTAGCTTTGAGTGAGGCTGAAATATCTACTGAAATAGTCTCGATGGAAGAGCCTCTATTTTTCACAGTGTTCTGATTGACCAGGAAAAGAAAAATTAGGCTGCTTACCTCTCTGTGGCAGCATAAAAAATAGACACAGAAATTACTGTATATACTAGAAAAGCTGCTCTGCATAAAACAAATTATCATGAATACTGGAAAATATACAAGCTAACAGACAAAAAACATATACATATTAAAAAATGTATTTAGCAGCTGATCTAGGTCTAGATAAAACTTCAGTAGGGTCCACCTATTTAAACGGTGTTTCACGTTAGTTTGTTTGCATCATTTCTTTTTATTACTGACAAACAACTGAGGCAACGGACCATAATGTTTTACTAAAAAACAAAGATTAGATTGATGCTGAAAAATAAAAGCAGTGATGAACTCCTGAAACTTGTAGGTTGTGAATATTTCTAGTGTTTGCCTCTCTTTCTGCAACAAAACGACGATACGAGTGCTTGCTATTTTTCCTGGCACACTCACTCCTCGGTGATAAAATGTCACTCTCTCACTTTTACTCTCTGTCACTTTCTGCGGGCATCATCTGCGCACTGTGCCACCTACGCCAGAATATAACAAATACTCACTTTAAAAAATAAATAGTGTGTTTAAATGGCAATGAAACCATTTATGTTGGATTAAAAAACACTTTAGTCCTGATCCTTAAAAAACTGACATATTAATCTATGTAACCTGTGATTTATGTGCTTTTGTGTGTTTTCTTTTTATCATCATCAGGTCTGCCCCAGCTGCTGGAGCCCCTGCACCAGAGGGAGCAAATCAAGGCCCTCCCAACCTCACCAGCAACCGCCGTCTGCAGCAGACTCAGGCGCAGGTGGATGAGGTGAGTGCTCCACGATCCACCGCCTTGCTCCATCACCTGGGATAATCAGCCGTCCCGTCCTGATCGCCGATTGTGTCACTCTAATGTTTCTCTTCCCTGTCCCGCAGGTGGTGGACATCATGCGCGTAAACGTGGACAAGGTTCTGGAGCGTGATCAGAAGCTGTCAGAACTGGATGACAGGGCCGACGCCCTGCAGGCCGGAGCCTCTCAGTTTGAGACGAGCGCCGCTAAACTGAAGAACAAATACTGGTGGAAGAACGCCAAGGTGAGGACGCAAAGACACGCTGACTCGGTGAACAAAGCCAGGTGCTCAGAGTCTAAATCAGGAGTTGTTCTCAAGATATTTACTTCAACAGGGAATTACTGTGAAGCAGGGGTTTAGCCTTTAATGTAAATTATAATACAGTAATTACACTGAGTAGATGTATTCACACAATACTGTTGTGATTGGCAGAACATGTATATCCAGTTTGCTTATTGGTGAAACGTTTGTCAAAAACAAAAATAAAAGTGAAGATAAAGCATCACTCCAAGTGCCTTTGAACACAACGTTGACCTGAAAAACTGCAGCTTTAATCTGAACCCACACATTCACACCTGAGCTGAGGGTGGGAGGCTAAAGGCCCCTCACAGTTTGGTTCACTGACGATTCTTAGGGCTGTGATCTGATTATAAAATGAGTTTTGCTTTATTTTGAAATATCTGCAATTATCAGGTTTTGTCATAAAATAGCTGAGGGAATAAATAAAATTTTACATTAATAAACACTGACTTGTATATTTCCATGCTTAATAATGAGGAAACTAATAACAAAAAAACCCATCAGCTACAGGTTGCTGACCAACACTTAGCACAGACACTAATTTAAAGGGATCTTCGATTTGTTGTAACATTAGACTTTATTTGATAACCATATATTTTAACTTAAAATAAAGACAGTAAAAATACTGTAGTCTGTTAAGTTTCGTAACTTTTAAAAAATATATTTTAATACGGATGGAGCCAGTTTATTTACTCACAAAGCATTCTGGGTAAATGATGACGTGGATAGGTCCTCGGTGTGAGCGAGCTATATCCACCCTGAAGGTTAATCTTGTACAATATCTGATGATCGACTCTTTTAAATGAAACCAGAGAGCGTTGACAGAGAGGAGA